AGTAGCTGGAAGGATTCCGACAATTGGGGAAATCATAACTCTAGACCTCCTTAATCTCGACTCCAACCCTTATCCTTGTTAGTTGATAGTTTTATTGCTTTTTAGTATTTGTTAGTTAATTGGATAAAAAAATAATATTATAATCTTTTATAATTAGGAAATTGTTTGGGCTTGTATTTCTTAACGATATTGAACAACTATAGCTAAACCTTAGTTCTCTGTGGGATTCGACTCCGGGCATAAATACTCAGGTTATATTTGCAACGTCCGCATTGTCCTTTTTATAAGGCATAGTTGGGCGTGATCAGATGCTGAAATTGAAACGACCAAAAATATTTTTAACGGCAGCCCGATACATTAAGCTCCCGCTATGCGCAGTGTCGGGTGAAGGGCCGAACCACAAGTGTCTATTGTACGCAGCCTTACCCTGCATTTCTGCAAGAAACAGTTTCCACGACTTGAACCCGTGACCTACTATCTAGTCACATGGCAGCAACCTTACTAGTTAAGCCAAGGCTTCCCGTCAAAGCGACAAAAAAAAGTAAAAACAGAAAATTCAAAACACTCTGTTAAATCCAATTGTTGGAGTTTAAATTCTATACACTCACTCTATCAGATCATTCTAAAGGAAACAACAAATAATTAATAAGTTAGATGAACAACTTGAGAAAGAAGACAAGTTAAAATTTAGTACTGATAGTGTAAAATATTTTTAATTGTCGGTATATATGAGTGGTTAAACTCAATTCAAATTATACCTGAACTAATGACAATGATCATAATCATATGTTTTTAATGGATTGTTACATAAAACCACAACGGACTGTGTCATTCTCCCTCTTAATTATAAGAACTAAAACAAATTGTAGAACACATAGCAAATAGTAATACAAGAATATCTTTAGCTAGTCTGAGTAAACACTTCACTTTTAATATGATTACCATACATTGAATTTACTGAAACTCGTCGTGGAAATTGTGGGCTCAAGTTTAAAGAGTGGTCCCATTCTAAAAATGACGAAACTGGTCAATTTGACCAAGGAGGAAGATAGTGTAGAAAAGCTACTTATGGACAAAATTTGGAAATAAACATGAAGTTAAAAATGCATTTACGTTCAATAAATTCAAGCGATAGTTTGGACTTTAGCCATGTCATTGTCAAATGAATGTTGTTGGGTATAAAAAAATTATATGAGGAAGAGAAGAAAAATTTTAAGTAAAAAAGGAAAAGAAAATGAGGAATATAATTGCCAAAATTGACAGAAACATTATCAAGGATAGAGAATAATTTGGTCGGCGAAATTGGATAATGAATAAATGAGTGAACTTTCATTATCAATAAAAGACATTATCAACACTCAAAGAAGTGAAATGCCTGTACATGATCTTCAGTAAATGAAACAGCCAATCGAAAAAAATCCATTAAATTTAAGTGAAGAAATCCTTTTCAGCTATAGATATGGACATTATAGCGCACGTTATATGAATTCAAGTGGACTCATTTACGTGTTGTTCTATTTGCATCGTTTTCTTGTTATCTTGATGTTGCTAATGTTTGTGCTTCTTTTTTATTTTCGTTTTGCCTTGAGTCGAGGGTCTATCGAAAATAGTTTCTATATTTTCTAGGCCGGATATATATATATATATATATATATATATATATATATATATATATATATATATATACACACACACACACACATACACACACAACAACAACAACAACAACAAACCCAGCTTAATCACATACGTGGGGTCTGGGAAGGGTAGTGTATANAAAGGGGTTAACTATGGTAGTATGCACAGGTGGATTCTCAAGTATAAAGGGTTGCACAAAGAAATGCCTCAATCATCTCTAAGACCAAACGACTTCTATTTCGCTTTGCAAACACACAGGGCAAATTCTAGGTATCATATGCAGGCATAGGATGCAAGTAACAACTCACACACACTTAGCATGTAACTCATTCCGAATCAGTTCATCAACACAATCATACGAGTGTTCAAGCCAGACAAGATGTGCAAAATTAAGGCATATATTATGAGTCCACAAACAAGCTTAGACCTTACACCCTTAGTTCGTTTTCTTTGCAAGTGTGCACATTTGGGGTTACATTCTGACCTTTACCCATTTAATCCTAAAACTATAAAAGAAAAATCTACCTAACCCGGTTCAAGAAAAATCCTTGGAAAAGAACCGTGGTACAAAACAAAAACCAAGGGGGAGGTACTACACTACCTAAAAGAAGAAAATAAAATAAAAAAAAATTACTAACAATGGACTACTTCCCTTAAGAGTACTGTCCACATAGTCCGTCATCAGGGAGAGTCCTCTACAAGTTTTTTTTTATATATATATCTGACTTTGACCCTCAAGAGACCCGTCAACAAGTGTCCGTCGTTGGGCCAAGTCAGCTACTCCTAATATAACACACACACACACATACACACACAACAACAACAACAACAACAAACCCAGCTTAATCACATACGTGGGGTCTGGGAAGGGTAGTGTATACGCAGCTTTACCCCACCCCAATAAAGGCAGAGAAGTTGTTTCCCATAGACCCTCGGCTTAAGGAACAGTAAAAATAAAGCAACATGCAATAACATCGGTAATATAACAAGGTAATGAAAGCGAGTGACATAACAAGTGTAGTAATAAAGAACTAAGAATAAAAGAATACAAGAATAATACTATTACTACTGGTAAACCTAGGAGAAACTCACAACCACCTGTCAAACCACCACCTTAATCCTCGACCTCCACACTTTCCTATCGCTAGTCATGTTCTCGATTAGGTAAAGCAATGACATATCCTGCCTAATCAGCTCTTCTCAATACTTCTTTGAATATATATATATATATATATATATATATATATATATATATATATATATATATATATATATATATATCACACTTATTTAAAACTCATCCACTCTAGATTCTGAATTCTAATGGTGTAAAATATTATCATTACTGCTAACATCTAGCCAACCCAGAAGAGAACAAACTTGACAAGGATTACCAGTTTTGCATGGCATTAGCAACACGTGAATAAGTTGACAAAGGTAAAAGTAGCGGAAAAGGACGACGATTCCTAGGAGAGAGATATTTTAACCGAAATAAGAATAATATTTATTTCACATTTAATTATGGGTATTAGCTAATATCGATACAAATCAGCTTCTACCTAAATTCTAGTACTCCCTCCGATCCACAATAAGTGACCAATTTGCTTTGGGCACACCCATTAAGGAAATACTAAATTTTAAATAAAAATAGTTAGTGTGACTAAACTATCCTTAATTAAATGTTGTTGTATAGTTATAGTAGCCCTTACTCATCTTCTCAAATGTAAGGAGTAAATGACATTTTAAGGATACGTACATAAGGGTAATTTTGGAAAACAAAATAAATTTTTTCTTGATTATATAAATGGACACTTATTTTGGACCAAAATAAAAAAGCAAATTGGTAACTTATTATGGACCGGAGGGAGTAGTATATAATAATTCCGGGATAACCTTGTTTTAAAGAAAAAGAAAGAATATATGTAGATGGGTACAACTGTTTTAATTTCTTTCTTTGTTTTTACAACTTATAAATGACCATATGGTGTTTCACCAGTGACAATTTCACGTGTACACATTGTCTGTACCAGTAAAGATCCAAAGACAAAAACAAAAACCTACCAGATAACAAAACAAAGAACGAAGACCAAACAAAACTAAAGAAGATAAGAGAAAGGTGAAAAATGAGTTCAAATACAGAATCTGTAATGTAACTGTAGAAAAACTGAAGACAACTTTTTCATCACCTGGGGAATCTAAAACTAGCCCTAAAACCAAAGAAGATGCCAAGCATTTATCAGTATTCAAATAGCATCATCACTAACAACTAGACAATCGTGATGCTGTAGTAAAATTTGTGATGATAAATCAAATAATAAACCAACAAAAAAACAAAATTAATCAAATTCAATTGAGCTGATCCAAAAGAATGATCAGTCACGCTGGGACGGAACAACTCATAGCAGTGGTCACTATAAGAAAACTAATATACTATATTATTAATTAGCTATTTGCATCGGAAAATATGGTTCCTACAATACTGATTCTAGTCCCTAAAAGTCAATAACTCATTCCTTATATATAGGCTTTGCCGCTAAAAATCAGTAACGACGAAGTCTTCGTGTTTTAGTTTATGTGTTTATCTTTCCTTTTTAGTATGTTGAAGAAATAATGTTTATTTCAATATTTGGTAACTCTTTAAATTCAATATTTTACATGGCATGATTAAGGTCACAAGATTCAAAGGGTACTTTAATACATTATATAGTCAGATTTCTTTATAACATCATCCCTATATAACGGTCATTCACTATAAAAGCTAAGTTTTTCTCGGAACGTAACTGATTTTTATGTTTTATATATATATATATATATATATATATATATATATATATATATATATATATATATATATATATATATATACACTCTGTATGGCAGGAAGCTCTCAATTTATTTCATACATTACTTTCTTCTCAAGGTTCGGTGCTTGAAGATGANATATATATATATATATATATATACACTGTCTATTTCAATTTAGATGACACACTTTCCTTGTTATTACATTCCAAAAAGAATGACACATTTCTACAATTGGATAATTAAACGTTAAACTCTTCATTTTACCCATTTTACCCTTAATGAGAAGATTTTATAACCACACAAATGTCATGGCCCCACAAAGCTTTTACCCTTCAAGCTTTTAAGACCACAAGTTTCAAAAGTCTTCTTTTTTTCTTCCTAAATTTCGTGCCGGGTCAAACTACCTCATCTAAATTGAAACAAAGGGAGTATCCTCTATACCATCATTTCATTATAGCAACCAAAAAGTATCAGAACAAATGAGGTTGTTATAGAAAAGTTTGACCGTGCACATTTTTAGTTTAAGACAACAAGATTCAAAAGTCTTTCTTTATTTTCTAAACTCCTTGCTTAATCAAACGAAAACACTTAAATTGAAACAGGAGAGTAAATGATTTTTTTGGATAATTTTTAGCAACTAAGAGAAAAAAAAAATTAAGAAAGGTAGTAGCTAGTTGAAAGTGTACAAACCTTGAGAAAAGAGTGCCACAATCACATCTATATTCACGAGTGCCACAAGTTTTTGTATGTGCTTTCCAATCAGACTGAACTGCATATTTCTTGGAACATTTCTCACACTTGAATTTCTTCTCACCATGTTTTCTGAAGTAATGTTTTTTAATCCCAGTGAGATCACCTAATGCTCTGGAAATTTCATGGTGTACACATGTGATTTCAGGACAAAGATAGACCTTTCTTTTTACTACTTCTTTTGTATTCTTCTGTTTTAGTTTCCAAGGCAAATTGTGTCCTCTTCTGTGTAGTTGTAAGTTTTGTTCCCTTTGGAATCCTTTGTTGCATACCTCACATAAGAATCTGTTTGTTGCCATTAGTGTCTTTGGTGATAAAGCTATCACTTCTGCATCTGGATCTGCTCATGTTTTCATCAGAGATAAAAAATTAATTCTAGATGATGACAAATAATACAACAACAATAAACGCAGTGAAATCCTACAAGTGAGATCTGGGGAGGGTAGTACGTACGCAGACCTAACCCCCACATTGTAAAAGTAGAGAGGTTGTTTCCGACACACCCTCGGCTCAGTAAAAGCATAGTCACACCATGATAATGACAAATTATAATAATTTAAATTCATCATTTATATATGGTGGAAACTTACAAAGATTATATAGGGGGTGTTTATCATATGAAAATGAAGAGAGATGGGTATTTTTTTTGTTGTTGCTCAATTTGCATTTCTGATTGGTTTTAACCATCCTCAACCCTATGAACAAATTATATATGAAGAAATTAGTCAAGTTGTTGGGATTTTTTGTTTCGATTATGTTCGTCGTAGCCCTTATAGTCCATTAGTGGGTAGGATGGTTTTTGTTGCACTAAATTCAGGACCTTTCAAATTAGGGTTTTCCTCATTTTTGTTAAAGGTAAACTTGAATTTCAGCTGTAAATTATCATTTTATTCTTCTTTTTGCATATATTAGTAAAAAGAAGCTAAGAAAAAAGAGAGAAGAATTTAGTCCTCTCTACTTGTTCTTTTGTTTCTAAAATTTATTCACTTTAATTTCAGAAAAACAATTAGATACTTGCATGGTGCAGTTCCAGGTTGATTTCTTCTCTTCTTAGTTGGTGCAGCTTGAGCTTGATTTTGAGCCATAGATGAAGATGGAGCTAAAGAATATTGCTGCTGTTGAAGGAGAACTTCCTGTTGAATATTCATCTTTTCTTGATTTCCCTCTTCTCTTCTTGTTTTGCTCTAAATATATATCCTTCTGCCCTGCCCTGTATCGTTTCAATTTTATCGGATATTTACATTGAACTAAAAAACTGAAAGAAAAAGAAAAGAAAAGATAAAGAAAAAAGAATTCAATTCAGTAATCTTCACTCACAAACCTTATCTACATATAGAGCCTCCAGAAAATCTTTGCTGCTACTGAATTTGAGAAACATAAAAAAGTGAGTGAATGAGTAAGAGGAAGAGAATCATTCCATCATTAGCTGTGTGATGTTTTTCTGTTTTTTTTTTTTTCTCTCTTTCTTCTGTAATCCTTTTCTATAAATGAAATTATATTCTCAAAAAGGATGGTATGAGGTTTTTCTATGTGTTTTAGGTGTCATGCATATACACAAACACATATCCATAGTTCCATACCATTATTTATTTATGTTTTCTTTTTCTCTAATTTTTTCCCCTCTTGTTCATTATATATCTCTATTTTATACTTTCATATATGAAAAAGTAAAAAAGAACCTATTAAAAGGGAAAAAACATACATTGTATATTACTTGTATTATCTGCAACAGTTGGCCAAACTAAGACTCCTTATACTAGAATTAGACAGCCCCGCATAGCTAGCATTCCACATTAAAATTAGACAGACTAATTTCTATTTCTGAAATCTAATGAAATATTTGTTTTACTATAATGTTGACGCTTTTTCTTTTTTCTAATGATATAATACATTTTTCCCCAATTAAGAAATATTGAATAACTTTTTTTTTTTGTAATGTTTTATCTTTTTAATGGGACTAGCTTTATGGTACGCGCTTTGCGCGTGTATTTATATTAATGAATATATAATTTAAAAATTTAGAATAATATATTTGAGTTATAAAATATAGATTTCATAAAATGATAGAATATTAATCCCAATTAGCTAGATTGTCGATCTCATGTGAAATTTATTTGTCAAGGGTAAAAATGTCGACCAATACTTCGTGAAGGGCACCCTTTTAGAGTACGCGCTTTGCGTATTTACCCATATCTGACATTCAATTCTTATGTGTCATTTTGAAAGTATTTGTTGGATTTAATGTTGAGCTAAAGAGTATCATAATTATGAATATTGAGTTAATTTATATCTAATTATAGTATTTGCTAAAGTGTGTATTTACATTTTAGTACATAAATTATTCCTAAAGAGAGTTGCACCTTGGACCTAAATTATTCCTAATTTAATTATTTTTTAATAAAACTTACAAAACCAAATTATGTGTCTGTGTGAACTTTTATACCTTTCTAACCACTCAAATTGATTCTAAGGGTTCACATCCCTCTTGTTCACGTTGGACCAGAGTGGAACTTGCAATAGAATTGGAAGTTTGGAACTCTTCCTCCCAGGTTAAATGCAATTTGGTGAATACGGAATACTTACTTGAAAATTTAGTTGATTTATATGGGGTAACAATATTTATTATTTTGGAGTCCTAAATATTAGGACTACATACATTCAAATAAGGAATAATTTAATTTTAATATTTATTATTTTGAAGTCCTAAATATTAGGACTTCATACATTTGAATAAAGAATAATTTAGTGAGCAAAATTTTAGTTGATTTTAATGTCCTAAATATTAAAAAATTAATTAAATTGACTATTGTGTCCAGCGTAAACTTTATTATTAAGGGATAAAAAAGGCGAACGACATTTCTCTAAGGGCCTTCGTGCTTTTAATATAGCATAGACAGATATATTATTTCGTCAATTCATCGCCTAATCATGATAAATTAGTTACATTTAAAAATAATTTTCAAATATTGTTTCAAATTTTAAATCTATGGCCAATCGATTTTAATGTAAATATCGAATGCGAGTAAAAATTTACGAATTCGGTGTGGGATAATGTGATGGTGTTGACCCCCTAATGTGTGGCATTTGGGTCCACCGACCAGCAAACGTTGCCTCCCTTTCTCTCATTTCGTATCTTCTCACTCACTCTCAGACAAAATGCTCCTTCGTCTCCTTCTTCTTGGCTGTCACAGTGAAAGAGGAACTTTAAAAATAATCAAAAAATAAATAATGAATCCCTTTTTTCAAATATAAATAGCTAGCTAATAATCAAAATAAATATTATTCCAAATGCATATAAAAATGTAAAGTCCTTGTCCAGTTTCGTTTTGCCCTTTTGTGTCATTGGAACGCATCTGCGTTTATTAGGTATGTTCTTGTGGAGCCTGTTTGCTAAAGATCATGCATACTGTCACTTTTCATTCTTTTGTCTAACTAATAAATTAGACTGGAGTAGGATTTGAAAAAAGCAAAGAATAACTCTGGTTGGAAGAAGAGCGTTTACGATCAAAGCTAGAGCCTAGAAGGATAGGTGAATTAAGGATTTTGGAAAGATGGCTGCACTATTACGATTCGGGGCATACAAAGGAAATTAATAAACCGTACCAAATCGATAATCCGAGTCAAACCCGAAAAAAAAACCCGATTGTGATTTGGTGTTAACTAAAAAAAGTCAAACTGAAACCAAACCAATCCGACTTTACATTTATATAATTTTTAAAAATATTTTATCCATATAAATATTTATTGTAATATAATTTATAAATATTTCTTAAACTTGCTCATAGTTTTATCTTTAAACGTATTATTTAAAGTTTAGATTTTACATTCTTGAAATGGTCCAATAAATTTTATAGCACATAAATGTAGTAGGCCAAATAAAGTTCAAATCAATACTAATGCTAATAAAGAAAATTCACTTCAACACTAGGAATAACAATAGTGTTATCTATTTTTTGTTTTGCATTGGAGTATAATGAAAATCATAACCTAGTTTATCTTTTTCTTTAGTACTTAGTTGTATAATTAATAGTACTTGTTAGTTTTACTTATTTTAGCATGACTTATATAGTATTTTTAGATTATGTTAATTTTAAAATTGCATATTAATTAGTAATATTTTCTCTATGCGACTTTACTGTCTTTGTTATTTAATATTTAGTCTAATGCTATGACTCATCTCATATTATTGTGTTATTTTTTGAAAAATACATTATATAGTTGTATCCTACTATGACTAAAGAAATATTTGGAGCACAAGTTACATATTTTGTGCTATGAAGACTTTACCGATAAAAACCCGAAAACCCGAAAAAAATCGAGAAAATCCGAGATTGAAAAATCCGACTTTATTGGTTTAGTTTATAGATTTAAAAACCCGTCACCTTTTGGTTTGGTTTGATAATTGAAAAATCCGAACCAACCCGACCTATATATACCTCTAAATTTACGATTTCTTGCTATTGTACCCAATATGCTTTTGGGATTACAAGTTCTAAATTAATTTTTTCAAAAATAGTAATTTTCTTACATATATATTTATTACTTTGTGTCAAAATGGTGGGATCAATTAAATTCATAGATTATATGCTAATCATCCACTGCCGCTAGTTTAATATACACAATTGGTTTAATTATATATAAAGTTCTATGGTATAAAAAAAAAAAGACAAAAAAGACGGACGTAATTAATATGCAAGAATTGACACCAAACATGCCAATCTCCCATAGGTGTGTCCAATTCTAAAAAAAGAAAGAAAAAAATTACGCTCAATGCATTGCAAATATTTGTGAAATAACAGGATACAAGTAAGGGATACTACCATTCAAATACCTAGGGGTCCTATATCATCAAAGAAGCTGTCAGCAAAGGATTGTGAGATACTGGTGGATAAAGTGAGCACAAAAATAAATTTTTGGGGATCTAAACAGTTATCATATGCAGGCAGAGTACAATTGGTTAATTCTGTGTTGCTAAATATTCATTCATACTGGGCAACAATCTTCATTTTGCCGAAGAAAGTACTTAAAGATATTATGGCAATTTGTAGAAACTATTTATGGGATGGAAAAGGAGTATCAAATAAGGTACCACTGGTAGCATGGGACCTAGTGTGCAGACCAAAAAGGGAAGGGGGACTGGGAATAAGGGAGTGCAGTATTTGGAATGAAGCAGCGGTGGCAAAATATGTATGGCACATAGCAAGTAAAGCAAACACTTTATGGGTAAAATGGGTGAATCATATATACTTGAAAGGGAGAGATTGGTGGAGCTACATTCCTCCACGGGATTGCTATTGGTATTGGAGGAAAATATGTGCTATAAAAGATAGATATGCAACAGGATAGAGAACGGATGGCGGAACAAGAATGGTAAATACTCAATTAAAAGTGGGTATCAGTGGCAAAGGGGGGAAATGGAACCATAGACTTAGAGCAGATGGGTGTGGAACAAAATGAATAATCCAAAGCATAGCTTTATTGGCTTGCAATGCCAAGAAGACTATTAACGAAAGATAGAACACTAAGAATGGAAATCACGTAAGACAGTGAGTGTATGCTATGTAATGGTCACACAGAATCAATTGATCATATATTTTTTGATTGCACATTCTCAAAGATGTGCTTGGAAGAAGTCCTCAAATGGCTTGGGATAAATATAAGAAACACAGAGGTGACAGGCTTATGGAGAAAGGATGTCAAGAGCAGCAAAAGGAAAAATAGGAAGAGCATTTACACAAGCAACGCTGACAGCAGTTATATATCACATTTGGAGGGCCAGGAATGAAGCTGCAGTTTGGTTGATGAAAGTGCCATGACCTCAAAAGGTGCTGGAGCAAATACAATATCTTGTAAGTACAGATGTCTGGAAGCTATACGGGGAAAGAAACTACAGAAGGAGACTAGTTGGATAGAGAACCTATACAAATAGATATTGACTGGACTTGTATGATTGAATAGAGAGGTACTAGTTGCTGACTAGGAATGTATCAAAATAGAGAGTTAGAAAATAGAATTGTTTTGGGTCTGGATAGAGATGTAGGAAGGGATGGGAAGCTGATATGACAAAATGTAAATATTTTGGGTTTGGAGGATTGAATAATAAATTTTTGTTTCCACAAAAAAAAAATTACAATTAGAGAGGTACACGCAACATTGCATTATATGATACTTTAATTAAATGGGGTACGCGAGCGCGCATATATATATATATATATATATATATATATGTAATTTTAAAAAAATATAAAACTACATAGATAGGGCGGGAGCATGAGTTCACGTGCCCAGAAGGCTCCCTCCCACCCTAGATATATCCCTGGCTAAAATAGTTGGAGGGAATATAATAGAAAATATAGTAGTCTTACAATGCCCGTGAGTGAACATATAATTATGTTCACTAAATCATTCATATTCTTACTAATGTACATTTAGGTGCGTAAGTTTACCAGTCTTGTTTTGGTACAACATGTAAATTTAATTAGGTCATTATCGATATAGAAGTTTAACTATGATCTGTATCGAAGTGTATGATATATGGTTGGAACAACTTGAACTTCAAATTACTAAGAAAA